CTAGAATGTCAAAATACTTTATCCATAACTAATCATTTACATATATGATGCACCACTAGAAAGACAAAATTTATGTCCACTGCCAAACTTGACATCAAATAATATATAACAAATACAAGACTTCAGACAAAAGAAAAATTTTGACTGCCATGAAAGGGGGATATGAAGCAACAGTATTTATATTTTATTGTTACTAAGGTATATGGACCATCAATTACTTGTAACTCAATATTTATGCTTTGTTTGATGGCTTTGGAGAAGGGAAGCCCTTTTTTGTAGCTGGTTGCTGTCCAAATATATTCAAAGCTATGTTGTCATGTTCACGAAACATTACTCTCAACCTGACACTTTAATCAGCTCTTCCATGCTTATCAAGTAGTGAGTGACACGTGGAAGCACTTTTTCTGATTTAAAGGGAGTAAAGGAATAACCACACAGAAAAAAGCAAACCTGGTTTGTGTGCTTTGCCCTACACCTCACCTCAAACCATAACACCAGTGCAGACATTCACCTGCAGGAATCACCGCAGGAATCACTGCAGCAGAAGGGGAGAGTGGATCCCAGACAGCCAGGGCATGTGGTGTATCCACTGGGAAGATTAACCTTGCCAACGATTTCCCCTTACTTCTGGCCTGCAGCTCCCATATTCTGCTTAGGGATAAGCAGGGTACAGTTTTAATGAGGATTTAGAAACAAGACTTCAGCTATTATTAATAGGAGATGCATGACTAATTCCTAGTGCATGTGTTAGAAAGAGGACCTGAGGGTCCGTTCTGTTTTCAGCTGCAGATTGATTCTATTTCAAAACCTAAATGGGCCTCTTGAAAAATACTGAATTTAAAGTCTGATCTGGTTCTATTTTATTGGGATTGCCTTCTTTCTTCAATCCTCAGAAACAGGAAGTAAATTAACTCCTTAGACTTTCTCCTGTCTCTGCATAGGTTTTGGCACAAGATTCAGGAAAATGAAAAAAAAAAATAAATAAAAAGACCTGAGCAACTTTCATAATACTTCTTTCTACAATCAAATAACTCACAAAGTAATAACCTGGATGTAGTAAATGGATATTTTTGTTATAATGTATCTCATATTTTTATGGTGAAATAAAAGGAACTACTTCACAAGAAGCTCATTTATGTATTTCAAACAAAGCAAATCACTAGGTACGTAGGAAGAAAAAGATATTATTTTATAGACCACACTAGATTTTATGTATGTTGCGAACCATTACAGAATTATTAGACAGATCAGTTTCCCAATTTCAAAAATATAAGTGGACAGAAATTCATTATTTGATTCAATTTTAAAAATCATTAATAATCATAAGTAATAACTACAATAGGAATGAAACATTAATAGAAAACATTTTAATGGATAGCATATTGATTATTTTAAAGGTCTCTTCCAACCCTAATGATTCTGTGATGCTATGGTTAAGAGCCAAATTCCTAGTTTCATACAGAAAATAATTAATTACATGAAAAAGTGTGATTGACCGGCCCAAGTGAAAATCCTGATCACATATGGCTCTAACAGTAATTGTCCCTCTCCCCTAGAGACAACAATGTGCTTCTGCAAGAGGCAAGGGAAGTGAAAACCAATCTCAGGGTGGAATAGGCAAGTCAAATATCTGGTTATTGAAAACTGTTCTGTGAGATTCAAAGAGCAATTCTTTGTTTCTCTTGGCCACCTGCAAAGCATATACAATAAAGGAGAAAAAATGAAATCTGCTTGCCAAGGCATAATTCAGTCAAAAAAATTGGCTTCCAAACTGTAAAACTTTGGAACCAGGTCTCTCTTCCACTGATTCTCAGAAGGATTCATTGTAATGCCTGTGTGGCAAATGCTTCCAAGCAGATTGGGATTTGTACAAAGAATTGAAATACCATTTTCAAATGTACAACTGCTCCCCGTTATAGTGGACACTGAAACCTCACAAGAAATGACAGGTTAGCTCCCATGGACAGGCAGAAAAATGACAACAGTATTCAAGATGCATTATCTGTCTTTCTAGGGTTGTAAAAATTGCTTGTAGATCATAATGTGAAAAGAACAACACTAAATGCTACTTTTGGAAGTCTGTTGGTGAATGATTACCTCACAATTGCTCACTTGTGTTTCAGATGACACATGAACTTTGTAACTATAAAATAGAACCTGGTGAACATTTTGTATTTATTGATATGAAATCTGTCACTTTTAGGTATTCTCAAGCTGTTCTCTGAAAATTCCATCTGTAACAAAAAGTTACCCAGAAACACAACAACGTGATTTTTCTGACATAGAATTACAGACTTCCTGGTAATTTTCTAGACTTTCACTATTCTGGTAATTATTATAAAAACCAGACCCAAAGAATCACAAACCATATATGTTGCACATGCACATACATTTCTCTGTCCTGAAATGTACATTTCTTTCTGCTATTATCATTTTATTAGATACTAAAGTTGTACCTTTCCTGTGGAAATCATAATCTGTCTTCCTTTTCAACTGTATGGGCTGTACAGTGACATTACATAGTATACATTTTTTAAGGGATATGTGTCCTCAGGAATTCCATTTAAAGTGTTGAATTCAACACAACAAGAAAACATTTTCTGTACTGCTATGATGACAATCTTATACCAAAGCTCACATGGTATTTATAAATATATAAATAAATATTATATTTATAGATATAAATAAATAATTGGAGTCTAGTTTTTCCAACATTTTAACAGTGAAGTATCAATTCCCTTACAAAAAGTAAAAAAAAAAAAATGCAATGACCTGTCACTTCTCTGTAATCCTGCAATTAAGGTGCACTTTAGCACTTATTAAAGTCAGAATCCCAGAATAATCCTTTAGGTCTGTCAGTCAAGCTCACCATATAAGAATACGAGCTACTATGATTCTTTCCCCCATCATACTGACATTTCCATTTTCATCCCTGTGCCATTTATGGAAGCTGCACGCAACTGTGGCCATGAATTTTAAAAAGCTCAGGTCACACTAGGGTCTCTTTCCTCTTGATGAGACTTTAAAAGAGGAAAAAGACTGGATCCTTGAAATTAGGACCTTAAATTTAAAAAAAAAAAATCAAAACTTAAAAATACAAATCCTATTTAATTTTTCTTCCTGCCATTTAAAGAAATTTGCAGCTCTTTTGAATCCTGAAATGCCTTTTTGTTGTATAAAGATTTTTGCTTTTTGATGAGCACAGGGACTTATTTCCATCTTGAAAGATAAATGCTTAGTTTTGAAATACAATTAAAGAATCCTCATCTGTATATACACACACACACACATATATATATATTATTTCTTGCATATTTTAGAAAGACTGTGTAAATTCTCTGCCACTCTGTTACTGCAATTCTAGAAACGTAGTGGATGAAATATTGGTACTACCAGTTCACACAGCATGTTATTTCCCTAAACTGTACCAGCTCATAAGATACTTAAAAATGTTTTCAGAACCCATCTCTGCCTGAGGCCAAACACAGTGTAAAGAAGAGCTGTCAAGAATTGTTTGTATTAAATGTGAACAGCACAGAGAAAGAATGGATCAAAAAATCAGAATATGCAAGAGTTTTGTTTCACTTATAGTTACATTTGTGTAACTCAGATCCAATCCTAATGGATCTCTTTAACTGCAGCACCTACCAAATTCATAAAATTAATCATATCCCTAATACAACACATCTATGAAGTAACACTGAAAGAAGTACAGGTGACAATAATAACAAACCTGAACCAAAAATGGAGACAAACATTTTTTTAAGAAGGGAAAACAAATAATGAGCTTAGAGTTAAAAGATAAAATCACTTTGTTCACATGCTACTTACAGCCTTCATAAATATCTGTTGGTATGTGGACTGCTGCATGTTGGTAAGATGTTTGCCGTCGGAAAACAGGATCGTCTTCAAATACTGGTCTGATTCTCTGGCTGCCAGATTCAGTTTCATTCTTTTCAGGCTTTTTAAAGAAAAACATGTAAAGGGCAAAATATTAAAAAAGTGGGCTAAAAGCAATGGCACTCACATTGTCTCTTTTTACATTAAAAATCATAGCTTTTCTTTCATTGCTAACATTTGGTGTTTCTGTATAAACACAATTAGTTTCTCCAGGTCAAGGAATATTTGTGTATAGTTTGCTTTCAGTTTTGATTTAGCCAATGCCTACAATGCAATGAAGACCTGCAAAAGAAAAGTATGAGCCTAAACACCTTAGACACTTAAATTTCACAACTGCATTTCATAACTGGAATTTTTATATCTATGCACAAGGCCAATTATTTACCTTCTATTACATGTAATAATTTGCACTAAGACTTAAATATTACTTTTTTTTTTTTTACTTCTGCAGATTATGTCACATACCACAAATCTAAAAATGATACCACCCAGATACATTGCATAAACAGATTTTTCAGAAACAGTGGTGTATGTGCAGACAAAACAAGGAAATTAAGCCTTTCTGAAATTTCTGATTAAATTAGTTTTTGGGTTTTTTTTCACTGATTTATTTTAAGCATGTCAGTGAAATCCTAGGTACTGGCTACATCTGTCAGAGGGACCAGTTCACACAGCATGTTATTTCCCTAAACTGTACCAGCTCATAAGATACTTAAAAATGTTTTCAGAACCCATCTCTGCCTGAGGCCAAACACAGTGTAAAGAAGAGCTGTCAAGAATTGTTTGTATTAAATGTGAACAGCACAGAGAAAGAATGGATCAAAAAATCAGAATATGCAAGAGTTTTGTTTCACTTATAGTTACATTTGTGTAACTCAGATCCAATCCTAATGGATCTCTTTAACTGCAGCACCTACCAAATTCATAAAATTAATCATATCCCTAATACAACACATCTATGAAGTAACACTGAAAGAAGTACAGGTGACAATAATAACAAACCTGAACCAAAAATGGAGACAAACATTTTTTTAAGAAGGGAAAACAAATAATGAGCTTAGAGTTAAAAGATAAAATCACTTTGTTCACATGCTACTTACAGCCTTCATAAATATCTGTTGGTATGTGGACTGCTGCATGTTGGTAAGATGTTTGCCGTCGGAAAACAGGATCGTCTTCAAATACTGGTCTGATTCTCTGGCTGCCAGATTCAGTTTCATTCTTTTCAGGCTTTTTAAAGAAAAACATGTAAAGGGCAAAATATTAAAAAAGTGGGCTAAAAACAATGGCACTCACATTGTCTCTTTTTACATTAAAAATCATAGCTTTTCTTTCATTGCTAACATTTGGTGTTTCTGTATAAACACAATTAGTTTCTCCAGGTCAAGGAATGTTTGTGTATAGTTTGCTTTCAGTTTTGATTTAGCCAATGCCTACAATGCAATGAAGACCTGCAAAAGAAAAGTATGAGCCTAAACACCTTAGACACTTAAATTTCACAACTGCATTTCATAACTGGAATTTTTATATCTATGCACAAGGCCAATTATTTACCTTCTATTACATGTAATAATTTGCACTAAGACTTAAATATTACTTTTTTTTTTTACTTCTGCAGATTATGTCACATATCACAAATCTAAAAATGATACTACCCATATACATTGTATAAACAGATTTTTCAGAAACAGTGGTGTATGTGCAGACAAAACAAGGAAATTAAGCCTTTCTGAAATTTCTGATTAAATTAGTTTTTGGGTTTTTTTTCACTGATTTATTTTAAGCATGTCAGTGAAATCCTAGGTACTGGCTACATCTGTCAGAGGGGAAAGGTCCCTAAACACTCAGGTGCTCACCATCACATGTCTGATTTGGGTTCCAATCCTCTCTCACCTGTGTATAGTTTGCTTTCAGTTTTGATTTAGCCAATGCCTACAATGCAATGAAGACCTGCAAAAGAAAAGTATGAGCCTAAACACCTTAGACACTTAAATTTCACAACTGCATTTCATAACTGGAATTTTTATATCTATGCACAAGGCCAATTATTTACCTTCTATTACATGTAATAATTTGCACTAAGACTTAAATATTACTTTTTTTTTTTACTTCTGCAGATTATGTCACATATCACAAATCTAAAAATGATACTACCCATATACATTGTATAAACAGATTTTTCAGAAACAGTGGTGTATATGCAGACAAAACAAGGAAATTAAGCCTTTTTGAAATTTCTGATTGAATTAGTTGGTTTTTTTGTGTTTTTTTTTTCACTGATTTATTTTAAGCACGTCAGTGAAATCCTAGGTACTGGCTACATCTGTCAGAGGGGAAAGTCCCCTCTAAACACTCAGGTGCTCACCATCACATGTCTGATTTGGGTTCCAATCCTCTCTCACCTGTCTGCAGCCTGATACACATTTCTTGATTCCTTCCAATTCAATCAGTCAGTTTGTACTAGTTCTAAAACATTTTGAAAAGCGGAGAATTTTTCTAACTCAGCTGCAAAACCTGCATGAATTGTGGAATGAAGGAGGTGGTGAAGGCCAAAGAAGAGGTCGGAGTGTCTTCACCTGTTTCAGCTGCAGCTGGAACAGGAGGCCCCATGCCATGGGTCAGCTGCCACTTAAAACAATAATACAGCAACTATGATACTGAATGATTACTCAGGCTGGCCTTTGGAGGCAAATAAAAGGATATTTTTAACACTATAGAGTCATCAGTTTTTGCAAATGTGCCATGCTTGATAAATAGTGCTGACAATGAAGCACCTGATGGTCAGCTGGGCAAGTGTGTGCTGAGGCCATTCTGTTTATTATCCTCTATCAAAGTATAAACAGATAAATTTTAGCTTATCCACAATGCCATGTAATGAAACTGCCTATGTTGTCTGATCTGCTTCACCTCAACTTTACAGAACAATGCCATTCTAAGTATAGATTCAAATGCTAACTGAAGTAAGCAGCAAAAATCTGGGTGGGTTTTAAAGAACTGGTTTCCTTTGGAAATACAAAGGGCAGAACTCATCTAACCAGGAACACCCACCAATTTCAACAACCCAGCAGTGTTGTGCTCATCACTGCAGGCTGCCTTCAGAGTGAATGAAGAGGAATGGGAATGTTTAGAGTGCAATTCATCTTATCCTAATTAGACACCTATTTCCCCATGACATGAATCATGCTTTAGAAGTGCCTCCTACTTTTGATTGATTGTAGAAGTAGCTCTATTGTAAATCACCTAGATGTGGAAGTCAGCAATACAGCTGCCTAGAATTAGGTGAGATGAATCTCACAAGTCCACTAAACATCCAGAAGAAAAGAAGCTGGGTACTCATTTTGACTACGTTTATGCAGCATAGCTACTACATCTTATGCTGACGAGGTCAATTTGTTGTAAAGTATTTAACCCCATTGTGGGAAGGGGTAAGAGTTTGGGAAGGGACATAGCCAGCACAGCTGACCCAAGATGATCAAAGAAATACTCCTTTCTAATGATGTCATGCTAAATATTACAAGTTCAGAGAAATGAACAGAGAGGGGATATTTTGAAGGTGGAGTATTTCTGGAGCAACTGCTGTGTGTCCTAAGATCCTACACAAAGTGTTTGGACATTGCCTGCTGGTGGGAAGTAAAGAATAAATGTTTTTTATTTCCACTGCTTCATTGTTTGGACTTTGCTTTCCTTTATTAAACCATCTTTATCTCAATCCATTAATCTTTTATGGTCTTATTTTCTCACTGCTGGAAAGGCGGTGGTACAGGAGAATGTGACACACAGCTTTGTGGGCAACCGGCAGCCAGACAAGGCTCACAAGCATTATAACTTACTTTGAAGGGTGCAGACTAAAGCCAGAATCAGTAACAGCTTATGCATTGAATGATTTGAAATGACACAGCATTATGACAGCTTCAGACAATGTAATTTGGTTCAATGTTTCATAGATTTTTGTTGTGTTGTTTGCTTGGGTGTTTTATTGCTTCTATATTATCCCACAGTTTGTTTTTTTTTCATGCCCCAAAACTGGCATGCAAAACATTACACAAATTCTGGAGTTCTTTTCATAACTTATCTTTTAGCTTCGAGTTACTCAAAGTAATGACTTTGTCTAATTATGCAAATGTAATCCCAATAGTCAATCATTCATGTGGCAAAACCTCCCTTCTGTTGGAAAGTCATTTGATTATAAAAAACCCCAACATTCTAACACTCTTATTTTTAAAAATTAGTAGCAACAACTACAAAACCTCAAGGCTTTCACAGTACACTTCAGAAAAGAATTTGGTCTCATGGGGCCACGTAACCACACTAAAATACCAGAATGAGTGAATGTCAAGGATTTCTTTCAACTAAATTTCCACAAGAAATATTTGGGAGGGAATGTGTATGGTAAAAGAGAAAGGGAATGGACTGACTAGTCAAAGGTCATCAAAGTTCAGCTTCTGGCCCTACAAAGCAGTCCCAAGAATCACACATTGTTTCATACAGTCCATCTTAGCAGGTCTTGCATAGAAGTTTTTGTACTACAATATATTTAGATTTTTGCTTGAAATTCCTGAAGCAACACAAATAAAATGATCATGTTTCTTCTAACTGATATTGCAATTTCATTCCAATTAATAAATACAATGTTTCAGTCCTTCCATTCACTCATATGCTCTGAAAGAAGCTTCATGTCTACTGCCAAAATATGATTACACCTTGTTGAAATTGAAACCACTTAATTAAGTGAGAGATGAATGCCTTAAAATTAAAAAAAAAAATCTACTCGCATTTCTAATAGCACACACTCAGGTCCCCCTGAAAAAGACTGACTGAGTCTGTTGCTATTCCCACTGATATTCCATGATACCCAACCAAAAAAACATTAATCTAAAAACTCTTCCCAACTTCATTAATGCAGGACTTATAACTACATAAAGTAATGTAGATCCTTTCACACTGCTCTTGTTGACCTTTGTGGGAGAATTTTGTAATGTACAGTACTGACACTGAAACAACACATCAATCTGCCCAAAAACCAAAGACAGAAAATTACAAAATCCTTTAAAATCTCGAAGTGACCCTCACATAGGAACAATTTGTTCTGTGAATCTAAAGGTGTCTGAACTAGTTCTGTACACAACAGCTAAGTATCAGAACAATTATTGGCAAATTAGTGCCAAACTCCTCCTGACAAGAAAGAAAAAAATTATACTATAGTGGATTCTTCTAGAGAAAACAAATCTATTTAGTTTTAATTTGCAAATTTTTGAATTTCAAGTAGCTTAAATCTGAAAAATATTTTTAAAAAAAGAAAAAGGAAAACCAGGAATGATTAAAATGGAAAACCTCAATGTTATTAATTATTTTAATCTTGCATTTCAATGAAAAGCCTGACAGATTGTGGTGTCAGTTGGTACAGTTTTATACCCAGTTAAACTTTGTTCTCAGAAAAGTAGCAAAACACATATTTTGATGGAAAATGATCCAGCATGTGAATATAATTAAAACTCAACTCCAACCAATTTCTCTCTCAACTCAGGAGCTGAAATGCAATCAATACTGGCACAGAAAAATCCCACAGGAGACAGTGGCTGAAGATTAATTTTCTATCTGTTCAAACCTGGACTTCACTTATTGCATTACAGTGTTACCTACCACTGACAGTCAGCAAAATAACTCACTCATTTCACTGCAATGAATTTCCAGACCAATTTCTTCCTCCCTTGAGAGGTAGATAAAATTAATTTCTCTTTTCAGTTCACATTTGTGCCATTTTAAGGCTTTTTTTTTTTCTTTTTTGGTAATAAACAAAGTCGGTTTTTTTTTCATGTGTCTACCATTGACCATCAGGATAAAAGAAAATTTATATAGCAGCTAAAACACAAGAAATGAGGTTTTTTTTCAGCTATTCTTTGTGATTATATCTAAATATTTCTTGGCACAATGTCCAATAAACTGGAGGGTACCTTCTGCATCTTTTTATAAGCCAAGTACACAGCAGAAATAATGCAACTTCTCACTAGAGGGCTTTCGGAACATAAATTAATGTATCTACATGAGTTAACTGGAAGCTTTATGCCAAGAAGTTTTACTGAAAGATTTGTCTAAAAAAGAAACCATCCATTAAAAAAAAATTGATAATTTCAAGAAATTGTGACATAGTCTAGCTGCCCATTTCACTGCAGCCAAACTTATCCTGATTCCTTTCCACAGCATTCAGTTACTTTCCATCATCACAGCTGTAA